AGGCCACTTCCAGTTAAAACAGACCTTCCTGAAGGAAATACGGCAGCCTCAGGTCAAAAGGTATAATGCTCTTTCTTTTTTTTCTTTTCAAGCCAATTGTCACCCTATACAATAGGAGAGGAAGCTGTGGCCAGTGCATGTGTCTGCAGAGAGGAACGTAGCAGGGGTCTGAGGGGGTCATTTCAGACTCAGAGCAGCCCCAGTCACACTGTTGGTCACAAAACCTGTTCTGTGGGTAACCCACACGTCTTTGCAGAGATGAAGAATGACATATGTTTTAAAGGCAGATCCTTCCCCATGCCCCCAGAGCGTTGGCCTGCACCCTGCCCCAGCTCCAGGCCTCTGGCCTCTTCACAGGTGGCCTATTTCTCAAAACAGCAGGTACAAAACAAAAGTATCCTAAAGGTACCAATGGTTTCTCACCATCATCCTTTGAAACAGAAAAACTGAAAATATCCATAAAGTAGGAAAACATAAGATAAATTGCTACCTCTAATATTAAAAATACGCAGTGCTGATTAGACCTATTTAGGCAGTGTTTTAAAAACACAGAACAGTCTCTTAGAGAAATTACTAGAGCAAGATTTTTGCTTCTTTAAATGTAAAGTCCTTTTCATTCCCCACTCTCTGAAATGCTTTATTATAACCATTTCTTGCAGCTGGGCCACCTGAGGTAAGAGAGCACTGCCCTGTGCCTGCTGTCTCAGTACCTACCCCTCTGCAGCAGAAGGGCCTGGGCACTGGGCACCCCCCGTCTGCACCGACGCTGCCTCCTCCCCGGCTCTGTCCGGGTGGGTTAGTACAATCCACTCACCTCAAAGGGGCTTTCCCCAAGCCATAGAAGGGAGTCCAAATATACAAATATTTAGGCACGCAACAATCCCTTGAAATGAGCTACAAGTGCAAACATCCAGGCAGATTGCTAGCAGCAAGCAGTTGCCATAAGTCAGCCTCAGGACCCGACCTGCCTTCCGCAGCCCTGGCGTTACTGCAGCGAGCACAACCGTGTTTAAAGAAAATAACCATTTTCCTTCCCTATTCCTCGTAGGCTACAGATGGGGCTGGACTTTCAGACCAGACAGGAGATCATTATTAATGGCATACTTATTTCGGGAGCCCCTTGGTGACTTCTTTCAGCAAATAAAAACATACCAAGAGCTGAATGTCCCTGCGAATTCTTTCCAATTCAATGGCAGGTGCCTCCGATTTTCCACTGCCATGCTGCAAATGAATGATTAAATGAAAGTAAATTCCACTGAGCTAAACAGTGGAAAAAGACACCAACACCGCAGGGACTGGAAAAGCAGACAAGCTGTATCAATGAGAAGAGGTGCCTCTAAGTGCTCTACCCAGTTAAAAAGACAGCAGCTCTTTTCGTAAGGGAGCATTACCTTTTTGCAGGGGCCAGGAAGGCATCGTCTCAATTAAAGCTGGTTTTGAAAAGAAAGCAAAGGACTCTGAATACCACAGGACTTATCTAACACAGGTAACCTAGTTAACATCAAGGAATACCCAGAGAAATCATCTACAGTTCTTAAATACGCGGCAAAGACTTAAGAGAGGAGTGTTGTTGAACTGGGAAATAGAGAAACCCCCAGATCTCTTAATAAACTAACCCCAGATCCAGCCCTGGAAGGAGCTGTGCTGTGAAATGGCTTGTGTGCACGTTTTACCTTAGTGTGGCTCCTGAGGCTTGCCCACAAATTCCTACATGGAAGCTCCCTACAGAGACCTTGATTTTAACTCTCATTTAAGGAGGGCTTCTGAGCCTCCACTCATTAAGAGCACACAGCAGCGACTCTTCTAAGGCTTGTCTGTGATATCAAATCACTAGATTTGATAACTCTTGACCTTCACCTCTCATTATTGAGATCTTAACACATTGCCCAGATGCCCAACTCAGTAAGAGGGAGCAAGTCAAAGCATGAAGTGCCAGGGCAGCCACCCCCAGGTACAACTGCCTGGAGGGGCAGAGGAAATAAACCCGAGTGTCACACACCAGCGGTGCTGGGAAACCCCTGTTCTCGGGGCTGTCATGGAGTTGGCCACAACTGAGTAAAAGATCTCTCTCTTGCCTACTCAGAATGTGTTTGACCTTTGTCTTCTTCCTGACAAAACTTTTTGACAAAAATCAAACCTCAGATGCTGGAAGAGAATGGGAGGCCAGTCTGGAATAAAAGCTCACATCGTTTTCTTTCCCTAGTGAATGTTTTGTAATATTTCCTGCTAAGAAATGTTTACAACCACATGCTTGTGCAGAAAGGTGGCACCGTACTTTGGAGCTCCACCCTGGGCAGCAGCTTTTCCTTAGCCCTTGAACCCCATCCAAAGGGAACTTTCAGTACCACCTTGCAGCCAACAATGGTCCACGAGAGCCAAGAGGGACTTCAGTTTTTCCATGTAAAGAAACAAACATTTTGCTGCTCGCTTTTCCCCGACCAGCCTGATTACTCACAACACAACTTTCAGAGGAACGTTTGCAGGAACATTCCTTCTATGAGGGAATCAAAACCCTCGTGACTGACAGACGTACGCATAAAATCAATGATCAAATGATCTTCTTGATTACTGTCCTGAGAACAGTCTGGAGGGGGTTATGGCTAGTTTCTTCCTCAGTTGTGATAGTCTATTGATTCCTTCCCTTCCCTTTTAGTAAATACTGTTCTGTACTACTTCTTTGCAAGTTACCATACCCTGAGTGGCCAACTCAACTCCAGAAAGCCATCTCCAAAGAACGCCTGCACAAGAGACCAAATTTAAAACTTCTCTTTTTCTCCAGACTAGCGATTAGAGCCCTCTCTTCTAGAAAGACCTAACATTTTGTTTCTCTTGTATTTATGGTCAACAAACTACTAAACAAACACCAGCTCTGCCACAAGCCATTCACAATCGTAAGCCTGCGATGTCTCTCCTAGATCCTGGCTGGTTTAAAAGCAACGATTGCTATCTGCTAACATAAACCCAAATGGCTGATGGAGCAGATAAAAACACCAGGCTCTGAAATACCTCTGATTTACTGCCTCTGCCATCAGAGCAGCAATCTCTAAGAGAGCGCTCAGGCTGAGCAGGGGGAAGAAATAGCAAAAACTGTAGCTAAATTTGATATGGCTCATGAACTAGAGCCCAGATTGTAAAAGACTTAATGTAACAAGTTTTACAATAGCAAATAGAAAAAGTGAATATTTACAAAAGAATTTGCTTAGAAATCATTGTAGAGGCTTTTACTTCCTTTAACACAAACAGAGAAAATATAAATGGTAATCTTCCAAGAAGTTTTAGTTCTAAACTTGCAAACAGAGTCCATTCATTTTTATTTTACCATTACGCACAGAACTGGGAGGGGGCTGGTGTTTGCATCTGAAGGAAGCACCCTATGCAGTTGCTTTGTTTATGTGCTCTTCCCCAGCACCTGTTTTTCACATTATAGAGGGCAGGATCCCAGTTAAATGGCTCTCTGGTCCCCACCACGGCTGTTACGACCACGTTTGCAGTGGTACAGACCCAGAAGCTCAGGTATACTCAAGAGTTGTAACATTTTCTCATTTTCTTTTTTTTTTTTTTTCCCCCCTTAAGAGCAGCAGAAGGAAGAATTAATTCTTACCCATTATACAACCTGGGTGTTGGTAAGTATAAGTCTATTAAGTAACTACAATTCTTCTGGGGAGGGGGATTCGCTTAATTCCAATCAAATGAGGTCCTTACTGTGCAATTTCAATTATGTCTAAATTTATCACCCCAGAAAGAAAACGGCTATGAATCACTATGCAGGAATGATATAATTTAGTCAGATTGTTCAGCTACTTCACTACTTTGGTATTTGAGGATTTTAATTATTTTATTTTCTTAAAAAATTAAAACATTTCAGAGGATTTTTGTCATGCTTTGATTGTTCTCTCAGATTAGCAGCAGCAGAAATAATTTAAAGCACTGATTATGAGGGTACTATTAGAGCAAGCAAACACCGCAGAGGTAAAAAGAGTTACAGCAGCTCCAATATAATCCTTGGGGAATGTTTCTATTTGCATTCAGACAGGGCCGGGTGGAATGTCCCCATACATCCCAGAGGGTAAGCCGATTTCTTAGGGCTCTAACTATTTATTTTAAAATGACTCATTAGAGCCACGTTTTCTGTTTGGGCAAATAAATCAAAAGCATAATAATCTCCTCATGAAAAGACGTCCCGAGTTGTTGGCCCGTAGTCTCTGTCCAACACTTCACTGTAAGAGGGACCGACCCACGTTCCAGTGAGCCTTTCAAACCCTGCTCACTGCTTATACCCACCCCCTGGGGAGTCCCCAGTTTGGGATCCTCCTGTACAATGGTTCTCCAAATAACATTAACATATTCACCTACAAACCCTACAGCACAGAATAAACTATGTAAGGAGCATCTGATACTATTTTACACACTGTAAAACGTTAACAAGCACAAGTTTTATCTACTGGCAGAGACTTCTCCAAGTTTCCACATAGATTTAATAACTTTCTTTGTACGCAGCATTCCTGACTGATTTGGGGCCACATTTGGGTGGCCTTGGGATCAGTTTGACAACTGATCAATTCTAAAATTTGCAAAAGCATTCTTGGCACCTCTGGTAGACCTTGGGAAAACCTTAAAAAACAACACCAAAAAACCCCAAAAGGAATCAAGGATGGACAAGAGAAGCTTATTCTCCATGTAATATATTCACAGCCACTAAGCAACTACCAACACATCCCAGCATAAAGACCAGCTCCCACTTCTCACCTCCCCAGCACCACTCAGATTGCTGAAGCTAAAAAGGGTGCACGCACCTGAAAATGTGTCCAGTTTTCAAGACATGACTGTCACCTACTAAAGCAAACTGTCCCCCCTCTAACTGCCAGTACTACCTGGGAAACATGCACAACTAAAAGGTGACATCACATTTTATCTTAGAAAGCGCAACTTTTTGGCCATTGCACCTTGGCACAGGGATTTTACTGCTCAGGTAAGATGACAACTTAAGAAAACCCCTTTTGTTCGAATAAAAATATATAGTTTAATTAGCTTTCTGTTGGCTACATTTAAATCACATTTAATATTAAATTAAACCGCATTAAAAATCTGTACAAAGTACGATGTAATGATACATAACTTTCACATATTCATTATAATACATGGAAACACCAAAGTCACAGAGAATTCAAGCCAGCATTACAAAGGGTTGCAAAGATACACATATACACACCCACCAAGGCTCGGCAGGAACAGTCTAACAAGCCATAACAACTCATTACTGAAGTGAAATGAGTTTGCTGCTGTGGGACAGGACCCAGCTACTCTGTCAATATTTATAATGCTACAACCTACACACAATTATCATAGTATTTTAGACTCTTTCCAGGAAAATTATTCCCAAAGCCAAGCTATAAGTGGCAACATGGTATCACAACACATGACTGAAAATGCTTTATTGACACCGGAATTCCCCAGATTTTTCATTTGGTGTTTGGCAGTTATTCAGTACTTGGATTTTAAAAGCCCTAAAAACTTAAAACTTGTCTCACAACAGTTATTTCAATTAAAGTACAAGTCCTCAACCTGAAGGTACTAAAAAAAAATATGTTTCAACATTCTAGGGAGTTTAAAAGTTTCTTATTAAAAAGATAAATAAAAAGCATTCAAGACAACTTTAAAAGAACACTTGAATAGTAATATAAATATGGAACTTCTTCAAAACCTTTTTTTTTTTTGATGTTAGCCGACAACTAAACATCACAGGAGCATGTCTACTCAAAGCATGTTTGAGAAACAGGAGTTCAGTTTGCAGATATTCCTAGTTGGCACCTCTTGCCATTACGAGGATGGGATCCTTACAAAGCAGGGTTCAGTATCTGTGTGCTAGGTTAAAAGGTTAAAATCCTTTCAGCCTCCCAAGAGGCAGGAGCCCACCAGTCCAGGGCAGTACCAGTACAGTTAAGACAAAGCAAGACGATACATCACAACTGCAGCACCATGAACTTTGGAACATCCCAAATAACTCCAGAGCATCTGGTCCTCAGCTTCCAGCACCAGGAACCCAAAGGCACCACTGTGTAACGAGGGCAGAAGGCAAACAGCAACAGTCAGTCAGGGTGTAAGGAGAGAAACAAACCCATAGGGGATCTCAGAAGCCATGCATCATCATGCTGTTCAACAACAACTGCAGCTATTGGCCCACTGTTCCAAACTTCTGAGGGAACAGAAAAAAAAAATGAAATTGTGGTTTTGATAGCCATTGAAAAACGGTAAGTCATCATGTCATTTGGCCAGGACTGCCAACATTCACTGCTGATCTTCATCTTACTCCTTTTCCTTCCTATACATACCATAAGGATCGTCTTGAGAGATTACTTCTCATGTTAATACTAAAAACCAAATCTTCAGGCATGAAAAAGCCATGAGGTGTCACATACTTTCAAAGTCTTACAGATTGTCTGAACATACTTTACAAAACAATCTGGAGTTTGTGTCTTCTCTGGGAGAAAGCAAGCTATCCCCCCCCCCATTGCTGCAGCATAAACGCAGGCACAAACCAATAAAAATAGGTAATCATCAAAAAGCACTCAATATTTGAAGAAATTGCAATAATTTGACAGTTGTACCTGATCTACAGTAAAATCTGTCTTTCCCTCAAGTAGCTTTAAAACAGACTTTGAACTAGTGTGAGGTGAATAATCACAACTACAAAATAAGTCTTATGTCCCCATCTCTGCTCCAGATAAGATACACCTAACACAGGCTACAACACTGGGAAAGGAAAACGCAGATTCTACTTTAAATTCAAAGCCAAGAACGGCATTGCTATGAACGAGATTCCACCCTGAGCTCAAAAAGGACATCATAATTAAAAGAAAAAGTCAGTAACAGAGTATTAACTACGATTATCTAATAACTCTTTTTCTTTCACAACACAAACAGCTGCTCCTTTTCCAGCTGAAGTTAAAAAGCCACAAGTTAAGAACAACGGAAGAGAAGGTTATGGATGATGAAACTTAAATAGCTCAAAAAGGACATCTTAATTAAAAGAAAAAGTCAGTAACAGAGTATTAACTACAATTATCTAATAACTCCTTTTCTTTCACAACACAAAGAGCTGCTCCTTTTCCAGCTGAAGTTAAAAAGCCACAAGTTAAGAACAACGGAAGAGAACGTAGGAAAACGCAGATTCTACTTTAACATCAAAGCCAAGAATGGCATTGCTATGAACGAGATTCCACCCTGAGCTCAAAAAGGACATCTTAATTAAAAGAAAAAGTCAGTAACAGAGTATTAACTACAATTATCTAATAACTCCTTTTCTTTCACAACACAAAGAGCTGCTCCTTTTCCAGCTGAAGTTAAAAAGCCACAAGTTAAGAACAACGGAAGAGAAGGTTATGGATGATGAAACTTAAATAAATTGCTTAAGGAAAAAAAAAATATTCTGCTTGTATATTGTCTGCACCTCCCAGAAAGAAAATAATTGTCTTTGTAGGAAACCTCTTATTTTCAATTTATATTCTCACTAGAATTTGCTGCATTTCTTTAGAACATTCTACAGATAATATATGTCATTTGGTTACTAACTTGATTTGTAACTAATTTTTAAATTAATCCTCCTTATGCTGTCTTACCTTTAGGACAGGAGAGAAATGAGTGCATCCAGAAATTTGCTCCGGTCTTCTGTTTTCAATTCAATTACTAAAATATGAAATATTTTATTACAAGATGCAAATAACTGAAAGATATACCTAATGTCACCAGAAAGAAAAACAATTGTCTTTGTAGGAAACCTCTTATTTTCAATTTATATTCTCACTAGAATTTGCTGCATTTCTTTAGAACATTCTACAGATAATATATGTCATTTGGTTACTAACTTGATTTGTAACTAATTTTTAAATTAATCCTCCTTATGCTGTCTTACCTTTAGGACAGGAGAGAAATGAGTGCATCCAGAAATTTGCTCCGGTCTTCTGTTTTCAATTCAATTACTAAAATATGAAATATTTTATTACAAGATGCAAATAACTGAAAGATATACCTAGTGTCACACTTGAAGATTAATTCCAATCATACTTATTTATATTCTCAATCAACGTTAAGAAGGTAAAAGGGAAACTATTCATTTAGACAAAATGCATTCTCAATCAGCGTTAAGAAGGAAAAAGGGAAACTATTCATTTAGACAAAATGCCAAGCACGTTGCTTATTTTTCTCTTATATTTCAGCAGACTCTAGGTGCTCACTATATGGTATTGCTGCTACTTTTTAAAATCTAGGAATGTTCCTTTGTATGCTCAACATGCATGCCTAAGTGCAGATTAAAAACTGCCTCTTTTGTAAGCGCATATAGAAACAGGCAAATCTTGTTGAAGCAAGATAGCACTTGGAGAGAGACTGACAAATGACGGAGTTTGTGTTTATGTTAGACACAGAAATAGTGTATCACAAACACAGCCTTCATGTTTGCATCTAATTCATACACAAAGGCGTGCATGGGCTATAGCTGTTGGGCTCTGGGGAGGCTGCGTAAACACTGACCCCTGAAGGACATCTGCTGAACGGAGTGACAGAGCGCTACTCACTCGACATGTCAAAGTGGTTGTGTAGAGTCCTGGAATTGGTGCTGTCTGCAGCCTTCTCAAATGCTCTTCCAAAAAAGCTACAAGATGACCAGAAATACAAATAAGCATTGCAGAAAAGGATATATTTACTAAGGCAGAAGTATGGAACTCTTTCCTTGCTGAGAGTTAAAATATCTTCCAGATGTTTTCCATGTGCCATGTGTTCAACACACACCTGCCCTATTCAAGTGCAGGAATCTTAACCTTGCAGGCTTTGAGAAATGAAGTCATGGGTCATGTAGTGACCTATGAACTATCACCCTCTTAAGATACAGAAATAGTTAAGAGGGAAGGAAAAAACTTGCAAGGAAGCTGGGGAACATGTGCATCCTCTCTCAAAGTAGCATGCATAACTACGCAAAAAGTGTGGTATCAAAAAGGATACAATTCAGTGTCAAATAGGTACAGGAAAGATATATTTGCTTCAGAGGCAGGAAAAGTCATAGATAACCTTTAGTAAGAACTTTTAAACAAGGTGCTTACTTCTTTTTGTCAGAGCTTTCTGTCTCCGGAGGAATCCCCACCATGATCACAGTTCCCTGCTCAACGTCCATGGGTGCAGCCATGACCAGTGGCAGCAACTTACAGCGCTTGTTTTTGGTCTGGAAGTGAGAAAGTCTCTTTGTTAGACACAATGCAGGAAACAATTTAGTTTCAGCTCTCTGTATTACAAATGTTCATCTGAGGAGACAGTTATAATGCAGGTCAACAGAAGATGGTTTCTTTATGTAATCACTTTAAGGACCAATAGAAATGTTAATTCATCTCTGATCTTACATTCCATTATAACCCAGAAATGACATAGACAATATATGATTTATAAAAACAACAACAGAAGTGCAGGTATGAGTATCTACAAACTTTAATTTTTTGCAATAATCATTTTACATTGAGAAACAACAGATAAGATATTGAGAAACACAGCCCACAGTTTTCACTGGAAATTGTCCCCTGTCATATTGTTTTACAGCGGTAAGCTGTAACTTTAACAAATTTTGTAATTTAATTAAATCCCAAAGTGATTACAAAGACTTTAACATTTTTAGACACTTAAGTAAATGAATCACAAGTTCGTTTGAAGTATTCTACTTTTAAGGTAAATGTTTTGCAGTGTGTTTCAGAAGTGCTGTCCCACTCCTGGTGGCAGGAGGTATTCAGTTTCCAAACAGAGGATAGTTCAAGTGTCCAGCAGTACAATAACTACTACGCAACCAGAAGTTCATCAAAAGCTTTTGATTTACTTACAGAGCAAACGAAGGATTTGAGCAGGTATTTACTAAGCAGGCAGAGAGAGACTGGTTTGGAGAACAGTTTCACGTCCGGTGTGCCCTAGGAAAAGAAGAATTATTTCTATTACAATCTGAGATGATTCTTCCACTTATTTAATTTTAATATCTGCTGACAAAGCTATAAGTTTTGTGGGCCTCAATGAACACTAACAAGAACTGCTACCCCAAGATCTCACCCACTTGACTCTGAAGTGCAGCCCCCCTTTGAGGGGTGATTCTGCCTTTGGGGAGCTCAGTGCCGATGCCAGTATCGACTCACCAGAGGATAAAGGGGTTCTGCCTGAGCCAGTCATTCTAATTGAGTCAAGCACCCAGGAAAATGCTGCTATTCAACTGTGAGACAGTAAAAAATTAGAATTCTGACCTCCATGAGAGAGCAATAGAGAAAAGGCCCCTGAGAAATGACGAGGTTGGTGCAAATACAGCTGGCTACTGTCTGCTGAATGGCACGTAACTGCTTCTTGGCCAGGTCCAGTCCTTGGTGCAGTTTGTCCAGGTTACCCCTGCAGCAGGAAAAAAAAATTTACACCTTCATATAAAAATAAAGCTTTTCAAACAAAAGTGAGATCTCTTTAAACACTATCCACAGGGATATTTTGATTTTTCTTCAATGGCTTTTGAAACATCAATGCATCTTTTAGATACGTAACCTACATTCCCTAAATAAGATTGTAAAAGTGTGGAGACACTTATTTTCAGTACCTGGAGAGACTGTCCAAAGCTTTAATGAAATTAGTTGTTTCAGGCCCCTCTTTCTCTATATTCTCCATTAGAGAAGCTGTTGCATAAACTATATCACTTGCTGAGAACTTGTTCTTAAAGCCAAAGTGAATGCTGAAGGTCTGAACTCTTAAATCCTTCATTCTGCAGAGTGAAATAAAACCAGTAGGGATTACTGAGATTGTCAGCATTGTTATGAACATTGATTACCCACCTCCTCAGCATGCTAATGTTAAGAACACAAAGACAAAGCATACTCCAACGTTCTAAGAGGCACATTTTTTTAAAACAAGATGTTACATCATTCTTCATACAAAAGTATTTGAACTTAATTGAAAAGTATTTTCAGATAAAGCATTTTATTTAAAATCATTTACCCAAACTTGTTTGCAGATTCTTCAATCATTTCCCTAAGATTTTCTTTCAAAGACATGTCCATGGAATTAAACTTCTGTTTCACTTGCTTCAAAGGCAAACTAAAAGCAAAAGGAAAAAAATACATTGATAGGTATGCCAGAAGAAACAAAGATTTTCCTTCCTCTCATAAGACTTCCTTAATATTAAATAACGTAGCAAGTTAAGTCTGACTAAACTTGCTTGTGTATCTTTTTTCTTTAGCCATTGAAGAGTGGATGCGAAAGTGCGGGTTACGTACCACCCCACTGATCAACAAAGGCAAAGAGCTGAAGGGCAAAGAGCTGAAGGGTTCCTCACACACCAAGACACAAGTTACATAATTCAACTGAGACTCCGCAACCTACTCAGAGCCCCACAACTATATCTACAAACTAAGACACTGAGTACTTGCAAGCTCTATCCTCAATATTTTCCCATAATTCATTGAAAAAATGATCCATTAATTGAGACCCAGATTTTTATAACTCACCCCATGTCAGCCAGAAACTCCCGGAGCCTCTTCTGCCCTTGCACGGACCAAAGCTTGAGGCTGGCAGAGGTGTACGCGGTGTTACAGAGACTCTCATACAGGGACCAGTGCTGGTAAAGTGCCAGGCGCAGACTGAACGGGAATTAGGGCAAATAACTGCAAACACATCTATCATCTGAAGTTACAAATAGTGACAAAGCTCTGAAACTATTAGGTAAGTCTTCAGCTGCCTCTGTATTTGGCATCTCTGTACTACACAGACACAGCTGGATGCTGCAGGTGCCTGTAACTCCAGACAAGCAACACTGACTCCTAACTAACTCTGACAGGTTAAGCTGAACTGAAGCTACAGGAGCTATCGAAGGAGGGACTCATGTTCAACAAAACATTCCCATTTCCATTTCTTTGAATTCCATTCTCAGCAGCAGAGATGGTGCTGGTGTTTTTTTCCCCTAGATAAAATCTCAGTGGGGTGCACCAAGTGGGCAGAGCTCCTTCTCCCCCAGATCTCACACAAGGATACTCGTACTCAAACGCGATTCGCGTGCAGTCGATGGACAGGGAGTTTTCCTCATCCTCGTTGCGGTGGTTGTGGCGAGACACGTGACGCTGTAGGATTCCAATATCAGTCACATATTTCATTCTTAAAAAAAAAAACAACAACGTATTTGTTACTTCACTTTCTTCCTGTGCATTTTGTACTTGATTATGAGAACACAAAAATGCTTCCTAAAGATTATACAAAGGCAGCGGCACGAAAGCTGCAGGTACAGCTCCACAAGAACCCAAACTGACTTGTTAAATAATGTTCTTTCAACATTCAGCCACACACCCAGGCCATTCTAGTGAAAACAGAACCAGTACAGAGAGACAGACTCAGCAATGAAATCAGTTACTTATTACATTTATCTCCTTAAAAACATCACTGTATTGGTAACAATAGAATACCTGAATTAAAGCCTACACATGTGCTATTAGAATTCTGAGGACATCTAGTAGGAAATAAGAAACAGAAAAAAAAAGGGGGGGGAAATCTGAAACTTATTAATTGCAACTGGAAATGAAGCTGGAGAATACAGAGCATACTATTTTTTTCCTTTAATTAAACTGTGTCAAGGTCATATTTACACCATTTCTTCCCAGATCAGAAGTGACTGTTTTATAATTTTAGAATTTTTAAGCTAACTTTATTTTTCACAAATAGTTGAAAAGGAAAATACATTTTTCTGATGTTTATTCCCATTTTTGGAAGGCATCAGATCACATTCAGTCATTAAAATATTTGATGTCACTGTTTGTTAATTATCTTATATTATATGAATTCCCATATATTTCCTGATCTCTATTAATTGCTATTAGTTACTCTTAAAAATATTTTTTTAAAGATAGAAATAAAATATTAAATATAATAAAGATAAATTTTTTAAAAATTCTTACTGAGTGATTTTATCTTGGACCCATTGATCTGTGAGGCCAACAATAGCCCACCTAAAATTGGGGAGGAAAAAAAAGGAAAATAAAAAGTTAAACCAAAAAATATTCTAGTATACATACCTAGAGGGTTAAATATACTGCAACAAAACAAATCAGAAACTTTCACCAAGTGTACCTAGAGGTTAATAACAAAGTTATACATTGTTATTCCCTTGTTAGCACGCACATATAGTATCATCCTCCCTTTTTCCATGTAAAATCTATTGGTTTTTTGTAATGATTTTACACAGATGTGTCCTCCAATTCAAGACATCAATCCACTTACAAAATCAACTGGAACCTTATAGTGAAATCAAATAATTTTGGGAAATGTTGCCCCTCTTTACTATGGGGCTAAGCTTCTAGACTCTCTGAAAAATGACAATGGGAACGTACCACAACATGTCATTCAAGTCTTTAGACATGATCCAGGCCAGATCAAACATCACCATCGCTGACTGCATGAGGGAAAAGCAAAAAGAGAGGATAAATGAACACAAAACTCTTGCTTCATTAAACACAACATGGTTAAATTTGCCAAGTACTAGCATGTTACTAAAGTTCTAGAAATCACATTTGAGTCTGACAATCTGATGGCATATTACTTTAAAGACACAAAGTAGAAAGAAAAATATTTTATACAGCTCTACAGTCTTACATTATATATAAAGCAGCACTTCACAAAATAGAAAAATAATCACAGGTGGCCAAATGACAGAAGGAACAGTTTAATGTCTTAAGTGTTGTGTGTGAAATATCCTAGCACTTTGAAAGGCAAACAAGCTCCCTAAAGTCTTTTTTGTGAGAGTATATTGTGTACAGAGAAATACTTCTGTCAAGACCTAAAAGAACCACACTATCAATTTTTTTTTTTTTTTATACCCGCATTAAAGTTATCAAACAACTGAATTGTTAAGAGATCTGGTCTGTCATTTCCCCCACTGTCAATGTTAGTTTATCCACTGTGACTCAGCTCCTGCCCCTGCCAGTCTTCTTCCTATGATGTGTCTGGTTCATCAACAGCAAAACTGTATGTACAACAGCCAGAGACATGGAACTGCTCCTACATGTAGGTGGTATCTTATATATAACAGTAAGATACAAGAATTACAAGGTATAGCAATATTATTATTATGTATAGTGTTATTACATAATTATAACATTGTATCAGATAATTATAACATTGGATATTTTCCAATTACCACAAGCACCTTGTGTTTTTATGGCAAATGAGTTTGTACTTACTGAGGTCCCATGGTATTCATACTGCTCGTAATCAAAAAGAATTTCTCGTCTAAAAGGAAAAAAAAAATCCCACATTTGATTAACTGGTGAACTGATCATCGGATCCAATTAAAGATATCAGCCAGGAATTGTGAAATAATATTTAAATTCCATTTTAGTAATAAAAAAAAAAAAGTTAAGCTTGGACTAGAATTTTTTTTCTGCAAGGCGATTAGATTTTAGTAGCCGCGTGGAAAATGCCCCGAAGTGTACTCAAAGTAAAAAGGAAAACGTTATTGCTCAAACCCCATTTTCTTATCTAATTTGTTCCTGCTCGGTCCTATGGCCAATAGTGGGATTGTAAAGGAAGAAAACAGAAGCACAATTTCACTCTAAGACAGACAAGAACAGAACTTAAAGTGAAGCAATGCACCTATTGCTACTCAAATTTATAAATTACTGTTTACAACTATCCTCCATTTAAACATTTTATTTTTATATAGTAAATATCTAAATTTTCTGAATAAAGATAAAACTAAAGCATCGCAACTCAAGCAGCATAGTATCAAGCTTTTGTATTCTCAAGATTTTAATAAAAAAATAAAAAGATACAAGTAACATGAAAAACAGTTTAACACACCTGCGTGCCTCCCACTCTCGCCTCTGTCGCCTTTTCATTGTTCTTTCTATTACATCCTGTAAATTAAGCTGGATGTTAAAAAGCTAGAAAAAATACTCCAGTAGATTAGCAGCTATCCAAATAAGTTGTTCTGTTAGACTGAAATCCCCGAGCACACAACCAGAGCTAGATCTCTTCAGTTCCCTGGTTATACAGACAGCATTACGCAAAATCAAATTTAAAACATCATTCTTTTAAGGAGAAAATATTTCTGTGTAGTTCCGATAAATAAACATTTTGCATACGTGAAACTCTACTGATCATAGTCAATTATTTTTAAATCTTACATTGATTTTGTGAACTCAAAACTCAAGTGCTATTATTATGATGTAAAGTATACGTACTAAGTGTTTTATTTTCCTTCCACAGTGGAGCAACAGAAACTCACCTCTTCAAAACGTCTGCGCTTCTCTGAGGGTTCTGACCCATCACTTTCATTCTCTGAGTCCTCTTCTTCATCCTCTTCATCTCTGAAGATATCATCGTACGCAGGAACATCGAGATCATCATCCTGTTTAACTAACAGTTTAATCTAGCAAGGGAAAATAAGCATTTTAAATAAAGTATCTTATTTAGTGATGAAAAAGCATTTCAAATGGCAAATGAGAATGCTTCAGATACTTAGGAAGAGAAAGTAAAAATGTTGGCTGCGATTGATTCCCAGCATAACAAAAATACAGCTTTTTAATACAAAGACTCTTATTAACACAAAATAAGAGTAAAAAAAAAATATTCTTTGGTTACAGCATTACTGAAAGAATTAGTGTTTTTTAATGCTTGTTGAAATTATGTTGTCAAATACTTTGTGCTTAATGCTCACATTCTAAGTGCTGCTAGATGCTGAGAGGTAGTAGACACTATATTCTGGAGGATGTCTGTCCTCTGGTTTGTAGCAGTTTGATTTACAGCCCTAGGATTAACAGGTGCTGACTGCTAACAACTATCACACTGCTAATGCAGTATATTTTATTACTAAAACCAGGGTTTTTTTCTGATCCTGGCATTACTACTGCAAATATCCATTAATGCTGCCTCCCACCCTACTGGCGAACAGTGTAAGCAGCTTTGCAGAGCACAGAAAAGCACCACGCCACCCACCACACCACACAAGGACTGGTATGATGAAAGAAAAGTGTTTACCTGGGTGTCATTGTAAACATTCACTACATTGATAGGTCTGTGGCTGTCACACACGAAAAACACCGTGTCTTCTTCCGGCTGCAAGATCTCCAGAAGGTCAACGTTGGCACCACAATTGATAAGAACAAAATATTTGAACTGCAAATAAAATAAAAATGAATGTATTTTACTTCAACTGGCAGGAAACCTCTAAGACCGAAAAATTTACAAAACCTCCAAAACATTCATCATTGCCAAAACCTGTATGTACTTTCTGATATTTGGTGTCTCTGAGGAGGAAAAAGATTTTTAAGACAAAGCAGCAAATTCGGGTGTGTTGGACATCCAATACCACCACCTTTTGTATCTCAAAATATGTGCAGACTTAATTCAAGTCTATTAAAATTATAGCACGTTAGTTCGAGCTGCTGTAAAAAGCTTAAGAAGTTTGTTATGGGTATTTTAAAATTTAACCACTGTTTTGAGGTAGCCAATAACAATAATTAGTTTAAGAGCTGACACTGTAAGCTGGGAAAAGGCAAGTGCATGTCTATATAAGATGAGCTGCAACTTAAAAAAATTCCATTTTCTTTTTCACCTGATCTTTGTGCTCGAGAAAAGCAGTTTCAAGTTCTTGCCATCCAGATACCGGGACAAGTGTATATTGTACATGATCACATTGAAACAAAGCCTGCAATGAAGGAAACAGCTGTTAGCAAAGGCCGGGGAAACAACCTCTTCTGCAATGCTATAACAAATCTTTATCTTGAAGACATCCCAAACGACAAAGCTGCATGAGCTTTGGGAGTATGACTTAATAGTTTTCAGTGTTGTAACTTGTGGAAGAAATAAGTTACAAAAGCAGATTAAGCCTTCACCATTTCCCCAGTTCAAACCTATTAAAAGGATCTGAAGACATTTTTTCTTTTTCAATTAGCTTACAGTGATAATAAACAAAGACTTACTTGGAGTATTTTACAAGCACATAATGCGTCAACATCTGAGGCAACAAGAAGAAGAACACGCTGCAAAAAGAACAGAGGAACACCATTAATACATTCACATTGGTGCCAAAACGAATGGGCTGTGATGTGTGCAGATCACTGTGAGGCAGGAAAGTAAGAAATTTAGGTAGAGGTAATTGTAATTGTAACCTAGGATTGCTTCTGAATGGACATTGCAACCAAAATTAACTGGCTTGGATCCCTGTAAATTTGAACGACAAACAACTCCACACACCCAAACTAAGACAGGTACTTTGAGGAAACATAATTATTCAGGTGCCTACGAACAGCACAGGCTTTTGAAGGTTCAAGGCTGCTCAGCCCTACAGCCATTTCACCCTGCCCAGGATGACCTTGATTTAGGCAAAACGATTTATCTGGTCGGTTTCTGAGGGCTTTGTTTGTTTGGGGTTTTGTTTTGTTTTTAAGATTTTGCTCACAGTTGGAGTTAAGGGAAATGCTTTCATTTGCACAATCCGCGTTGTAATTTTACCGGTAGAAACACTAGAGGGCTGTTAAACAAAAGCATTGCCACTTCAGTGCGGGCTTCCACTCCGACCAGAGCTAAGGAAAGGGGGATAAAGCACGAAAGCGGCCGCCCAGCCTCCTCTCGGTAAGAGCGGCTGCGAGAGAAACCCCAGAGAAGAAAGAATACAGGATTTAGTGTTTGACCAAACAACAGCGCGGTGATTAAAAAGATATAAAATAAACAAGAAGACACCCGGGTCCCACTGTCCCCAAACCCGGGCGGTACCGGAGCGCCTCAGCCGCCTGAGCCAGGGGCGGCCCCAGCGCCGTCCCCGCTCCGTGAGGCAGCGAGGGCCGCAGAGCCCCGGGGGAGCGGTCTGAGGGGAGCAGGGTCCGCGGGCGCCAGGGACGCCCGTACCTGGCTGACAATCGCCTCATAGAACTCGCGGCGGCAGTCGGACACGAACATGGCGGCAGCGCGAGCGGCGGGGAAACGACGGAGCCCGCGGCCGCCCCGACTCGAACTGGGCGCCAAATCAGCGCCGCTTCCTATTGGCCGGCTCCTTACGGCGCGCTGGCCAATGAGAAAAGCGGCCGTCCCTCCTCCTCAGAGCGGATTGGGCGAGCTGCCTAACCCGTTCCGGGTCGTCGCCAATGGGGCTGGGAAAAGGGAGTCGCGACTCGCGCGACTGGCCAATGGCAGGCGGAGCTCAGCCGGAAGTGTCATGCGGACATCAGTTGCCGTGTCTGCCATCTTTGCCGCGGGTTAATTGTTTGCTTCGCGGTTTCCGCGCCCGCCCGCGCGGCGGAGGGGCCGCGTCCGCCCCCGGGGAACGGGCAGGGGCCAACCGCCCGGAGAAGCCGTCCGCCACGGCCCCGCCGCCCGGCGCGCCATCCCGCCTTCCGCCCTCACGCGACATGGCCGCCGGGGAGGCGGGCGCCGCGCGGGTCGCTCGGCTGTGGCTGCGCTGAGGGGCCCTCAGTGAGCGCCGCCACACCCCGTAGGGCCGCGGCACCCGGTAACGTACGGTTTGTGGGGTTGTTTTTTTTGTTTTTCCCTAGTTCTCCTTCAACATGTTCGATCACCCCATCCCGCGGGTGTTCCAGAACCGCTTCTCCACCCAGTACCGCTGCTTCTCCGTGTCCATGCTGGCCGGGCCGAATGACAGGTCAGATGTGGAGAAAGGCGGGAAGAGTATGTGCACCTTTTCTTTCCTCTGATCCCTGCGAGCGGGGCCCGGTCACGGCCCGGGCCGGGGGCGCGGGGGGGGCGCGGGAGGGGGGGAGGAGGGTTTGT